TTCGTGCCGCTTCTTTTGGGATTCCATTACATAGCCTTTTTGAAGCTAAAGGTATTGCTGGCAATATTGTGCATGCCGTTGCAACAACAAATGCCATCATTGCAGGGTTGATTGTGCTTGAAGCAATGAAGGTGTTGCAAAATGATGTAAAAAGCTACAGGTAGGGCTAATTCCACTATTTACTGCGCTTTTCTTCACTTTGAAGCAGATAATTATTATTTTGGAGATCAACTAGAATGACCAAGATATCAGATACTCCTGCCAGCTGTGACTGATCTCTACAGGCTTCTTTTAAGCGATTTCCACATGCTTCCAGTCTCCTCTTTCCCACTTCCCACTGCAATTTTTTTTTGAAAATGAATTTTGGTCAAAATTGTTGAAGTGCAGATTTCATCATCTGATAAGGATCATGAAAAACAACTGTAATCAACTAACGATTAATCATTTGGGGCAGCAACAAATTCAGTGGTTATTATAAGTAGTAATTACGATTATTGAAGAGAGTGACCACCTCATCTAAAAGTTTAAACTGCTAAAAGGGAATATTTTATTATCTAATTTAGGTCTGCAGCGTGTCTGCTCATGCGAGGGCCCGATGTTTCTGCTCGACTTTGGAAATATTTTTGTTGATGGGTGGAGAGACTTGAACTTAGGACTTCTGCCTGTTCTTACCACGTGAAAGTGTGTGGCCTAATTTAAAAGTTTTAAGCTGTTAAAAGAGGATCATTGTAAAAGTATCTTTGAAGGTCTGAAACCATAATTTTTACTACGTCAAAAATCATTGCTAAATTTAATTCTAATCAACAAATTTATTATTCTTATCGGAATTCTATGTTTTGGTCTCTTTGACGCAGAATTGATAGAAAAGTAAACAAATAAGGTAACTGATCTACGGAATAGTTGTGGAGTTTTCTTTCTAAATTTAAAATGATTAAAGGGGTTTTCGAGAACACTATGCATAAAGTACTAGAAATTATCAATTTAAGTGCATGAATGCAATTTGTTGGGTGAAATGTTATTGATTATCACCAGTGCCAGTGTAGGGATGATTGTGGATGAGAGAATCTCTAGTTTTAGAAAACCCCTAATTTGAATTATTGAAGACAAATTATATAGTATTGGAATGTGTTAGCCAAATAGTGCAAAGTGGATATAGAGGATTCATATAGTGGAACCCTACTAATTAGGGATTGAGGATTAGTTAAGTGATTGCATACTGATTATTCACTATAGAAAATAAAGAGTATTTTAGCAGCTTTTAGCAAATAGTAGAAAATCAAAATAAGGCATCCTACCTCTTAAAGTATCGTGCAATGCATGTCATCCTGTTGTTCCGTGTAAAAAGTAAAAAGTAAAAAGAATAAGAAAGTTGCCAGGGCCTTGTAAAATCCAAGATGGAAAACAATCAAAAGACTTAAGGAAAAAATTTCAGGACGCTTTAATCTACCCTTTCTTTTATTTTTTGTTATTAGCTAACAATATAAGGACAAACTCCTATTTGACCAAATCTATCAAGAACTCGGTGACGAGAACTTATGCTGTGTAGAAGTATGACGAAAGGAACAATGACCATGTCTTTTTGTTAGGTACTGTTTATAATATCATGTGCACTCCCTTGCAGGATGACTTATTGCCTTGAGCATTCCTCAAGAAAGATGCTTCTCATGCCAGTGGAGCCCTTTGAGCCAAACAAGTCTTGTTATGTTTGTTCTGAGGTATGATCTACTGTAAAGTATAGTAGATTGTCTTTCCGCCTGTCCTACTTTACGAAATTTTGTTTCAGCTACTAATTTCTCATTTGATACAAATAAATGAGCAGACACCTTTAACACTTGAGATCAATACTCATCGTTCGAAGTTGAGGGATTTTGTTGAGAAGGTTGTTAAGGCAAAACTTGGCATGAGCCTCCCATTGATCATGCATGGGGTGGCACTTCTTTATGAGGTGGGTGATGATCTTGAGGAAGATGAGGTTGCCAATTATGCAGCAAACCTTGACAAGGTATGATATTGTCATGTCTGTGTATGTATATGAAGAAGCTCTATAGTTATCGGCTGATAAGTTACTTGTCTCGGTGATTATAACACCCGTAGGTGCTGTCTGAGCTTCCCTCTCCGGTTACTGGTGGCACAATTCTCACAGTTGAGGATCTTCAGCAAGAGCTGAAATGTAACATCAATATTAAGCACAGGTCCTCCTTGTTCTCACTATCGTCGGAGTTACCTTTACATGGAATTTTACTTTTACGTAATGTTATTAGGTATTAGCAATAGAGAGTTAGCTGATGATATTTCAGAAGTTAAGCTGTTGGTGGAACTTGACATGATAGTTCATTCAAGTTTAATGATTCTTCATTCTCTTTCCTTTTGATTCATTCATATCTTACATCGCAACCTTAATTGCATGCTCCCGTGAATCCGTTTTAGTGCTTATTCATTGTACCGCTTGACTTGTAATTTTCTAATTCTGCCGGATTAAGATTATGGTTTGGATTGATGCATAGAAAGAAAGAAATAAGAAGAGCAAGTTGGTGTTAAATGAATCATGCTTATTAAACCTGGCCTGGACTAGCCTTTGGAATATGATACAGTTAATAGGCGAACTCGATGCAGAGTCTTTATTCGATCTTTTGTTTAATTGTTGAAGAGCTGCTCTTGGCTTGTGGGGGACTGATTACTTTTTGGTCCAAGTGCGTAGCAAGAGAACTTTCAAAATCTCAGAGTGTTCTCCTGAAAATTTTCTAATCTTATAGCTGTAATGTGTGTTTGTCTAATACTTTTGTTCTCTCGCTATAGCTCGGAGTCAAGGTAACAGCTCCCTTCTCACAAATTAACCACCTCACTTCCTTTTTGAGTTGTTTCAGTATGTACCTAAAACTGTCTTTGCACTTTTATGTTCTGGGGCCCACTTTTGTATTAACAAAGGTTCTTCGAAGGATATGATTGGCCCAAATTTTCAAATAGGACGTTGATACTGTAAGTCTCTTTTTGTAGACTTCCTTGTAAATGGGCATCACCAATATTTTGTTAACGAATCCTCTTATCTAATTGAATAAAATTAAGGCAGTATGTTTAATTGTCCAATTAAACTAAGAATTAAAATGGGAAAGAAGTTAGATGTTCTATTGAGATACTCTCAAATGACCTCTTCAGGATCCCCAGGGTCAGGTTGACCATTCTGTAATGGACCTTGGACACTTAAAATTCATTTTCTTAAAATGAAATACGTGCACGTGCCACTAACCACTGGATTATGATCGACTCCTCCACTATGAGCTTCACATATTAGAAAGGAAGCTGGAATCTCCATCTTGTCTTGATTAAGTTTTGATTGATATGTTTGTAGCTGATTTAAAGAGTTGTTTGTGTTCTTGGTTTTCCCTGTCTAGAGATTTCCCGTTATTGCCATGAAGAATATAACTCTTCCTGACATAAGGAAATGAAAATCCAGGCAATCAGAATCTATCGGCAATGACTTCTTCAATTAGATATTCTCATGCTGCATAATGGGGTAGTCTCTGCTGGGCTTGGTTCGAGACATTATATGTACACATAGACTAGATGTTTCTTCACCAACTTGTGCTATGGCTATTGTTCCAAGTTGTGTGGTTGTCTGTTGCTTTGATGTAATTGTTATATTTTCTTCTTTGATGTTTTCCCCCTTTCTTTTGCTTTTGAAGCTCACCCAATCCATAGTATGGGACTTGAAGCATTAAATTTTTTTGTGTGCCTGGTGGTTTGATCCATTTCCTTTTTTGTATTCCTTTTGGAGGACTTGTCTTAGTGTATTTGGGAGTACATTGCTAATTTGAGGGCATTCTGTATATAAGTACTTGCTTATGCTGTTGATTTTGTCCATTTACCTCAATCCTGAAGATTATTTACTTTTTCTTTTCTTCTTGCTCCGCAGCCTCAAACTAATTTGAACTGTTATATGATTTTATATTTGCAGAGAAGAGTTTGATGAGGAGAAAGAACCTGATGAAATGGTTCTTTCAGGATGGACACCAGCTCTTGCAACAGAAAAGAAAACCAAAACATCTGACAATGGCCCCAGCTCATCCAATGCATCTCAGACAGTTCAGCTGGAGCCGGAGGATGATGATGAGTTAGAAATTATTCTCAAAGACCCTGAAATTCTTTCTGCTGGGAATAAAAGAAAGTTGTCTGACATTTCAGTTACTGCCGATTCAGAGGTATCCCGTGTCACTGGTGAAATGCAAACTAAAAGCCATGCAGAAGCGGATGATACTCACACTGATACTGCCATGCTTGATGGAAATTCAGACATCAGCAAGAAAAAGAGGGTGCAACAATAATTTCCATGATCTTAATTCTAGCTGTGCTTCTAACTTTGTACGATATAGGGAAACAGTGATTCTTTTTGCCACATCCTAACTTATGAGTTGTTGATCTTTAGGTGCAAACTTCATGAAGTTTTGATACTGGCATGATACCCCCAGTTACTCCATTTCTAATGTTGTCATTTGGAGCAGTCTTGATTCTGACTTAACAGATATGACCGTCTAAGAATGTAATTCTCACTATTTTACCAGGCACTTTCAAATCGGGTCATTTACTAGTGTGTCTCCTGTGTTTAGTTATTATCACGACTGTAATTCCTTTTTTCTTTTTGGTTCATGTATCCATCGGCTAGTACATACCATTTTTAAATCGTTGTAAAAGGGTAGGATAGGAAACCCCATTTAATGGCCTCAAGGCAGATACAAATCATCAAAAGCTTGACATGGATTAATTGCAAATTTTGTTCATATTGTATGCACTCTGCAACATACCTTAAGCACAGAAGGTACTGGTTTGACCTTGAATAGCAAACTGAAAATGGTATGAGAATTTTTCAAGCTACGGAAAAAATTGTATTTGAAATGATGATCTAGCAAAATGTGACTCAAATTGCTCAAGAACCAGTCAGCGTATATAGTTACATTCAATGAGCATTAACCCCATCTAGACTGAAAAAAAACACAACAGTAAGGGTGTAAGAGAAACTATGAAGTAAATAATACTATACAATAGTACATTATTATTCAGTTCACAAACTTTTTTCCATCTACACATCCAGCATTTCATGTTCGGAATGCAAAACAATCAAAAACATGTCCGCCAGCTATTGTGACTCATTCAGAGAAGTCGCAGTAAAAGAGCTGGCTCCAACTATATATACATATATATATTTCAGCTGAGATACACCAATTGAGATTTTTCTATTATAATCTCTGTCAAAGTGATTGTGGCATTCATCGCCCGTTAAGTTCAGCAAATTGAGCAAACATTGCAGTTCCTGAATGATCGTCAACTGTTTGAAGTTCAGCAGAATTTCTTGTCTGCTCGGGTGAAGAAATTGGTCGGTTATCAGGAGTGGAAGGTGCAGAGGCCGGGGCAGGAGTAGGGGCAACTATAGCAGGAGAGGCCGGAGCAGCAGATGTTTTATTTTCTTCCTCAGTTTTTCCTTGTAATGAGGCTTCTTGCAGCTGCAAAGCATATTCCAAGTTCCACAGCACATCACCCATACTTGGCCTATCAGCACCACATTCTGCCAAACACTTCTCTGCTGCTTCAGCAAATTTCTTCATTGACTCTGGATTAATTTGTCCCACAAGATTGGGATCAACTATCTTGTCCAACAATCCTTTTCTCTTCCATTGCAATGCCCATTCTGCCAAGTTCACTTGCTCTCTTGGAAGTGCTGGATTAATTGCAGGACGAGCGCATAAGGCTTCTAGAAGTACTACCCCGAATGAGTACACATCTGACTTGTCTGTTAGTTGCTGCTTGCGGAAGTACTCAGGATCAAGGTACCCGAAACTTCCCTTCACAGCTGTGCTTACATGACTTTCCGTGGAAAGGCAATCCTTTGATAGCCCAAAATCAGCCATCTTTGCGACTAAGTTCTCATCGAGAAGAATGTTGGTGGTTTTGACATCTCTGTGAATTATCGCTGTAGATGCACCCGTGTGGAGGTAATGAAGCCCACGAGCGGAGCCAATGCAAATTTCTAGCCTTTGCTTCCAGGACAAAGGTGGTAAGTTCTTTCCATATAAATGATCTCTGAATGGACCATTTTGCATGAACTCATAAACCAATATCATCTCCGTGTTTTCATCACAATAACCAATTAACGACACCAGATGGCGATGTCTGAGCTTGGACAACATCTGAATCTCGGTCTGAAACTCATTGATGCCTTGTTCGGATTGTGGATTGCCTCTCTTAACAGCAACTTTGGTACCATCGTCAATTTCTCCATAATACACATTTCCAAAGCCACCAACGCCAATTATAGCATTCGAATCCCAATTATTGGTGGCGTCTGACAATTCAGCAAAAGAGAAATACCGGCCTAATCCCATTGTTGAAGAGAAAAATTGGCTCTTGCGCGACAATGAAGCCTTGCTTGCCATAAAACTTGTATCTCCAGCGTGGAGCGGAAGCAACCAAGAGGAGAAACTATTCCTCTTTTGCCAATCTTGAGGCCTTTTTTGCCACTTGAAAACAATAGCACCTAATCCTACAAAGGCTCCAAACATCATTGCAAAACCAACATAAGCCACTGTTTTGCTTGGCCCACTACTCTTCTTACCATTAACACCATATTCTCCATCAAAACTACCCAAAGAATTATTCATCCTAAAAACCTCAAGACCATTCAAGATCGCGTTCCTGAATCCTTGGACATCATTTACTGGAGAAACCTTTACACTGAGCGGATTGGATGATGAAGAGGAATCTACCACAAAATCTTTGTAAAAAGCTGTAGACAAATGATTATTAGTCAAAGATGACAAGTCTAGCCCGGAAATTGCCATCTTATCATTAATGTACACATTGAAATACAGCTCATTGAGCGCTTTGCTAATGATATCGCAGAAATGAAGGCGAATGAGGTATGAATACGCGGTATCAATATCCATCGTCCATGATATGTTGAAATTGGGAATAGTAGTTTCTGAATCTGCCATTTTTACTGCAGTACTGTAAACTGTAGGAGGAGCAATCAAAGGCGAACCTCCCGGTGTAGGATATTGAATAGCAGATGATTGAACAGAAACAACCTGTCCTGTGGCATTATTACGGAACGGTGAATCAGGTAACCAATTTCTCCCTAAAGTATCATTTGTAGCATCAAGAAATGAACCTCCCATATTAAGCCTATAGGTTGTTTCGAAATTACTATTGGAGAGATCAAATTTTTGCGAAACGGGGAAAAGTAGAGGGACAGAGTAGTCAAGTACTTGGCTTGGAACAGTAACAAACTCAATTGCATTGATAAATGCAATGGACCCTTCAGAAGGCTGAAATTTAATAGCGTAACGTTCTGTAGTGACATTTACAAGAAACTCTTTCATAATTGCTTCGTTTTTTTCCATTTGGAAGTCGCGTAGAAGGACTAATTTATCTGTTGAAACAGAGAATTTAGCAGTTTGGAGATTAAATTCGTTATTTTGTAAAGGGAAAAAGTGAAGACGGATCCAATGCAATCCTGGATTTGTCACGTGAAATGTGTACGTAGCTTCACTATTGAAAATCTTCGCGTTGAGGTATATAGGTGAAGGTACATTATTATTGTTGTCTGGTGCAGAAGCCTGAATGTCACGTCCGCTATAGGCTAAATATTTAGCTGTATTTTGATCTGGTTGAAACGCGCGATTTCCTGAAAGAGTAGTAGGGGAAGTGGATCCACAATCAACAAGGTAATTATCTGATGGGGTAAATGCTGGAAAAGATTTTGCAGATGCAGTATCTGATTGTGCTGAAACGGGCATTATACTCGAGGGGCTAAAAATAATGAGGCAAATAAACGCCACGAGGATATTGGCCATGATTGACGACGATAAGAATGAGATAAAATGTGGTGATCCTCTAGGCATTTTTTTCATCTCCAGCCCCTCTTGTGAGGATTTGGGGATGAAATTTGAGAAAAAATTGTCTAATACTATGAATGGAGGGATATGAAAGGGGGAAAAGGGAAAGAGGAAATGGTGGAAATGAAGAATGAGAGATTTGAATTCAGTCTATTTTTGCCAATATTATCGCCATTGTTGTGGGGGTGTGGGAGATTGGTTTTGATTTCGAATTTCTGTTGGCGTTGACGCCCTTAGTTTCTTTAGCTTTACAATGTTTTAGTGGTTGATATGGTTAATCTACCGGTATTTTCTCCCTGCTCTTCGTTAGTGTATAAAGAAGTTACAACTCTCTGTTCCCAAATTCTTATGACCATTTTCAATATCATTGGCTTAAGTTCTCTTTGTTCTTTTATTATTACGAAATAAAGAGAAGAAAAAAAACGGACAAGTTTGCATATCAATGGAACAACAGTTAATATATTTTAAGCAATTAGCAGAACATATTTACAAGGTAATCATCTATATTAACGAAAAGCAAAATACGAAAGAGGTCGTCATTTGTTAATCGCAATTTGCAATCAATGACATAAAAAATGATAGTAATTTAAACTAAGGGTCTTTGGCCAAGCTGCTTTTATAAAAATGTGTGCTTTGTGAGAGTAGTAGATTATGTGTAGTAAAATTATTTGAGAAATATTCTTGTTAGTAATTTTTGATCGAGTAATATTTTCAAAAAATGCTTTTTGTGTTATAAAATAAAGATTGTAAAGTAAAGACAAGTATAGAGAGAAACTGTTATATTATTCAAACTTCAAACTTATGTATATAATGAACTGAAAACTCCTCTATTTATAGAAAAAATGAAGCAGTTGCGATGAAGCAGCTGCAAGGCTTTTCTTTAGCTGCTTGTAAGCTGTCTGCATGAGCTGCTTGCAATCTGCCTGTTTAATAAGAAACTGGTGCAAATCATTTCATTGAGTTGCTTGCAACCTGCCTGCATCAGCTGCTTGTAGATAAACTTCAACACAGTACTAAATGGATAATCTTCTTCAGGAAGATTATTTATAGCGGAGTAATAAATGGACATCCACAATATAATTATTTTCATAACACTCCCCCTTGGATGTTCATTAAAAGGTATTGTGTCTCGTTAAAACCTTACTAGGAAAAAACCTTGTGGGAAAAAATCCTAGTGAAGGAAAAAGAGTACACATATTAAGTAATACGCATTGCTAGCTACCTCGTTAAAAACCTTATAAGGAAAACCCTGTGGGAAAAATCTTAGTAAGGAAAAAAGAGTACATCGCGTATTTTACTCCCCTTGATGAAAACCTTGTTTCGAATATTTGAGTCTCCGCATTCCAATCTTGTATACCATCTTCTCAAAAGTTGAAGTTGATAAAGATTTAGTGAATAAATCTGCCGGATTATCACTTGAACGGATTTATTGCACATCAATGTCACCATTTTTCTGAATATCGTGTGTGTAGAATAATTTTGATGAAATGTGTTTCGTTCTATCTCCTTTTATAAATCCTCCCTTCAATTGGGCTATGCATGCAGCATTGTCTTCGTATAAAATTGTGGGTCTTTTCTCACATTCCAAACCATATTTTTCTCGAATAAAATGAATTATTGAACTCAACCATACGCATTCCCTACTTGCTTCATGAATAGCTATTATTTCAGTATGATTTGAAGACGTAGCAACAATAGTTTGCTTTGTGAAGCACCATGATATGATAGTACCTCCACATGTAAACACATACTCGGTTTGAGATCTAGCTTTATAGGGATCAGATAAATAACCTGCATCTGCATAACCAACAAAATCTGTACTACCTTTGTTAGAATAAAATAAACCCATTTCAAGAGTTCCCTTTAAATATCGCAATATATGCTTAATCCCGTTCCAATGTCTCTGTGTAGGAGAAGAACTATATCTTGCAAGTAAATTAACAGAAAATGCTATGCCATGCCTTGTAGCATTAGCAAGATATATTAGTGCACCAATTGGACTGAGATAGGGTACTTCGGGACCAAGGAGTACCTCATCCTCTTCTGGAGGTCGGAACAAATCTTTATTCACCTCAAGTGACCGAACAACCATTGGTGTACTCAATGGGTGCGCTTTGTCCATGTAAAAGCATTTTAATACCCTTTCTGTATAGGCAAATTGATGGATAAAGATCCCATCTACTAAATATTTAATTTGCACACCAAGACAAAGTTTTGTCTTTCCAAGATCTTTCATCTCAAATTCTTTCTTAAGATATTCAATTGCCTTTTGAAGCTCTTCTAGAGTTCCAACAAGATTTATGTCATCAACATAAACAACAAGTATAACAAATTTTGAAGCTATTTTCTTTATAAAAATACATGGACAAATAACATCATTTATGTAACCCTCTTTCAGCAAATATTTACTGAGGCGATTATACCACATACGCCCAGATTGTTTTAAACCGTACAAAGATCTTTGTAATATGATTGAGTACATTTCCCGAGATTTTGAATATGCTTCATGCATTTTAAATCCTTCAGGAATTTTCATGTAAATTTCATTATAAAGTGACCCGTACAGATAAGTTATAACCACATCCATTAGATGTATTTTAAGACTTTCACGTAAGGCTAAACTGATGAGATATCGAAATGTTATGGCATCCATAACTGGTGAATATGTTTCTTCATAATCGATTCCAGGTCGTTGTGAGAATCCTTGTGCAACAAGGCGGGCCTTGTATCTTTCAACTTCATTTTTATCATTCCTTTTTCGTACAAAAACCTATTTATGACCAACTGATTTTATACCAGTAGGTGTTTGGACTACTGGTCCAAAGACCTCTCTTTTAGTAAGTGACTTCAATTCCGATTGAATTGACTCTTGCCATTTTGGCCAATCAGATCTTTGTTGACATTCTTCGACAGATCGGGGTTCAAGATTCTCACTATCTTGCATAATGTTAAGTTTAACATTATATGCAAAAATATTATCCACCACTATTTCAGATCGATTTAAATTAATCCCATAACCAGTAGAACTTATTAAAAGTTCCTCACTCACTTGAGTCTCGGGTTCATTGATTTCTTCAGGAATCTCAGAACTAATCATATCTTGGGTCTCTTCAGGAGATCCCTTCATAATATCATTTTGATCATTTGTCAATTTTTTTTTCTAGGATTTCGATCCTTAGAACCCAAAGGCCTACCACGCTTCAGGCATGCTTTAGGTTCACTAGCTCTCATGCTAGTAGATGGTCCTGCTGGGACATCAATTCGGATAGGAACATTCTCTGTAGGGATATGTGACTTAGTTATCCTTTTCAAATCAGTAAATACGTCTGGCATTTGATTTGCTATATTTTGTAAATGGATAATCTTCTGGACCTCCTGATTACATATAGGGATACGTGGATCAAAGTGAGATAATGATGAAACTTTTCACACAATTTCTCTTTTGATTTCCTTTTTCTCTCCCCCTAATTGTGGGAAATTTGTTTCATCAAATCGACAATCTGCAAATCGAGCAGTAAATAAATCTCCCGTCAATGGTTCAAGATAGCGAATAATAGAGGGTGATTCAAACCCAATATATATTCCTAACCTTCTTTGGGGGCCCATTTTATTTCGTTGTGGTGGTGCTACTGGCACATATACAACACATTCAAAAATTCGTAAATGGGCAATATTTGGTTCATGACCAAAAACTAATTGTGACGGAGAATATTTATTAAAATGTGTCAGTCTGAGACGGATAAGTGATGCTGCGTGCAAGATAGCATGGCCCCAAACAGTAATGGGCAATTTTGTTTTCATAAGTAGTGGTCTTGCTATCAATTGCAGTCGTTTAATAAATGACTCTGCAAGGCCATTTTGAGTATGAACATAAGCTACAGGATGTTCAACTTTTATCCCAACTGATAGACAGTAATTATCAAAAGCTTGAGATGAGAATTCTCCAGCATTATCAAGGCGAATAGCCTTTATATGATAATCTGGGAATTATGCCCTTAATCGAATTATTTGGGCTAATAACTTTGCAAACGCCAGGTTGCGAGATGATAGTAGGCACACATTAGACCATCTTAAAGATGCTTCTATTAGGACCATAAAATATTTAAACAACCCACTTGGTGGGTGAATAAGTCCACATATATCCTCATGCATACGTTCTAAAAAGGCAGGAGATTCAATGCCAACCTTCATTGGTGATGGTCTAGTGATCATTTTACCTTGATAACAAGCATCATAAGAAAATTCATTATTTGTAATAATCTTCAGGTTCTTTAATGGATGCCCACTCGAATTTTCAGTAATTCGTCTCATCATTATTGATCCAGGATGGCCCAAACGGCTATGCCAAAGCATAAAAGTATTTGAATCAGTAAACTTCCGGTTTACGATAGAGTGTGCTTCAACTGTGCTAATCTTTGAATAGTATAAGCTAGAAGATAAAGTTGGTAACTTTTCTACAATGCATTTCTGGCCAGAAATATTCTTTGTAATACAAAGATATTCCACGTTCATTTTATCTATTGTCTCAACATGATATTCATTTCGGCGGATATCTATAAAGCTCAACAAGTTTCTTCGGGACTTGGAGGAGAACAATGCATTATCGATAATAAGTTTTGTTCCCTTAGGCACAAATTCAGTAGCTCTTCCGGAGCCTTCAATCAAATTTTTAAGGATTCAAATTCTTCTTTCGAATGAATGAGAGTCCCGTTAATTAACCTAATGACAGGTTCTATGAACATATGCAAAAATATAGTGAATGCATGATTTTTCGAAGAACGTCTCTCGACTATTCTTCTAAATTGGATTAATCGATAACTCTCTAAGCTCTTTCGATTACGGATGAGAGGCGTAAAATCAACCCAAATAAGATAATGCAATGCGAATTGCAGCAACACTTCTCTTTCGATTAAAGTAAAATCACAATTGGCCTTGCAATTCAATTAATAACTTATTCAATGAATTCAGACAATTAACAGAAATTAAAATCCCAAAACAATAGTCAAATTATAATATCCGTCAATAACCCTAAGAAACATTACTCCATAGTGGAAAAGTTATTCATCGCAAGAGTATTAGAAGAACAAGAAGTCATTACAATTCACAAAATCAAACCAACTTCCATATTGAATGAATTGGATGAAGTAATTAGAGTCTCTGTTGTTTCCTTGCCTTCTTCTCTCCCAAAGTTGCTCCAAAATCTCTGATCCCTTATTTTGAGACAAGCTAGGCTTCATATAGGTCAAAAAGAGTC